AAGTAATCCAGGATAATTTCCCTACTTCAAGACCCTTAATTTAATCACTTCTATGAAGTCCTTTTTTTTCCATGTAACATTGCATATTCACAGGTTCTGGGGATTAGGATGTGGACACCTTTGGGTGAGGGTCATTACTCTTGCCTATTGCAGTGTGGTAGACTGGATTATTATTCCAACTTTTCATTCTCTTTCCAGAAGTAGCATTATACATCCATATTCTTTGCAGTAATTTTGCAGCATCCACTGTGGTTAAGGAGTATTTACCCACTGCTTGGCTCTGAGATCGGTCATTTGACTCCTTTTGACCGATGAAATTTTAGCAGCTGTGATGCACTCAAACGCTTGAAAAGTGCTTATGTGACTAGGCATGGAAAATCATATATGCAAAGTTCTGGACAGATGGAACTCTATGCTCCATTCATGTGGAGCTCACAGATATTCCTAAAGGAGAGAAAGGGCATAAGTCAGAGATGAAACATGAGGTTATTCTGTGATTGAGTTGGATAGCAAAGATTTGATTGACTTGATTCATCATGGCCGATCTACATTGATGTGCCCTTAATTAAACAAATTTTTATTTAGTAGCTAGTTTGTGAGTATGGTAGATGTTAGGGATACGTACAAGAAGATACAGACTTTCTTTAAATAGTATTTAGAAATTATGTTACTGATAACGGTGTTCTGAAAAATGATCTCAGGTTAATGAAATCTTTGTGCTCTATTCAGTTTGATTGTATATTCATAATGTATTGTAACTCTGATTCTAAAAAACATAATTTAATAGGAAAAAAATTTAGGACTATTTGTTTAAGTACGGATCGTGTCTACTGATTTTGGTTATTTGTACCGGTGCTTCTCAAGCTATCTACGGTGAAGGAACTTTTTTTTTTTCATATAGAGGAAAACAGACTCTCTATTTTATTATTATTATTATTTTAATATGAAATTTATTGTCAAATTGGTTTACATACAAGGAACATTTATTTTTTGTTATTAAACCTCTAATCCATGTTGACTGATACAAATTGCTATAAAAGTTTCTAAATACACTTACATTTTATGCTTATCATTTCATGCACTGGTAACAGTTTGTGGCCTGGCACCTATCAGTAGACTATACTCTGAGTAACACTGATACTGTCTTTCATTATGACAGATCAAGAGCATGAATATATTTGAATGAACAAATGTGAGATTTTTTACTAATAATTTGTGTGTCAAATTTATTGTTTTTCTATATTAGTTTTAAAATTAAGAAATGATATGTGGAAAGGAAAATGGGATATGCTTTCTAGTCATTCATTCAGGTCTGTCTTCCTGTATTTACATGTCATGTCTTTTGACAGAAACTAAAATGATGAAGAGACTGAAAGTTTCAAAGTAACTGAAACTTCAAATTATGAATAATGGTTTTCAAGTGTTTTCAATTGAGAAAAAAAAAAACCAAACAAAATAAAAACACAACTACAACAAAGTGAACCACAAGAATATCTAGAGGAGCAGAAGATATTTGTTTCCGTTATCTGCCAGAGGAAATCATTTCAGATATTATCTAAGATTGGCCTATTTGCAGATTATATATTGAATCTGTTTCATCAAGTTTGTCTAATTAACATCGATTTTGTGTAAGTGCTTATCTTTTGCAGTCAAGGTGCAGTACATTTGTTTTACAAATATATTAAAATATAGTTTTAGCTTTAAAAGTATAGTATTTTGTTTTAGGCAAGTAATATGTTTCTAATGTTATTTGAATGACTTAGAGAATATTTCACCTTGCCATGTTGAAGTATGGGCTAAATAGTTCTTAATGTCATGACAGTACAGTTATCACAGATGTGGAATTTATTTTTCTATATAGAAAAAAACAAATATTGGGACGCCTGCGTGGCTCAGTTGGTTGAGCGTCCGATTTCGGCTCAAGTCATGATCTTGTGGTCTGTGAATTCGAGCCCCGCGTCGGGCTCTGTGCTGACAGCTCAGAGCCTGGATCCTGCTTCGGATTCTGTGTCTCCCTCTCTCTCTGCCCCTCCCCCACTCATGCTCTGTCTCTGTCTCTGTCTCTCTCTCTTTCTCTGTCAAAAATAAATAAAACATTTAAAAAAATTTAAAAGAAGAAAAAACCAAATATTTCCCTGAAAATGGTCCATATGAACATTGTTCCCCCAACAAGTACATGGCTATATTTTATTTGGAATGTAAAACTGAGGAGACATAATAAAAGAAAGTATATAATTGGAGGATGCTTTAGGAATTCCGTGTGTGTGTGTGTGTGTGTGTGTGCGCACGCACTCTGGCAAGTTAATTGTTCTGGCAAGTTAATATACCTTTCGACAGCATTGCATACAAATCTAAGAGTACTTTTTTATCTTTGAAAAAAATTAAAATGGCTATTACAAAAATTAACTGCTCATGGCGCTATAAAGCAAACTGGCTGGAGAGGGATCCGTTCTGTCAGTCTTTTTCCTCCTATAGATGGTTCTTGGAGGCACAATGTAGGAAGCCATAGCGTGGTCTCAGGGTTAAAGCAAAGAATGAGAACAAGGGGGAAGCATGTTCCTGACGCACAGCAACGTGTCTTCAGAATGCTGAGCAAACGGACTGAGGGACAGTGAAGCCCAACAGTATGGTACACGGCATAATCCTCGACGCCCCCACTGTGCCATAGACCCGTCTGCAGCAGTCCACAAACGCGGAGACTAGGTAGATACCAGCAGTACTGACTTCCTTTGCTCACCAAAATTTAGTCCATAAAATCACCTTACTCATCCAACAAGGAGAAAGTATACAGGTGAAAATTGAGATCCAGATTAAGTATGTCATAAAATTATACTGCTGGGGGGGATGAGGGTAAAAAATGACCCTCAAAATTTTGTTTTATGAAATGGGATTGAACATGGATTTGATGGATATATATATTTATACATATATATAATACCGTGTATTTTTACGTATGTAAATATAAATAATATTGTTTCTTTCTATGTTATAGTCATATCTTCTCAATCTCTTCCCTATTTAGTCTTTTTTTCTTGATGTTTTGAGTTGTTTGTGTTTTTATTATTGATTTGTAGGAGGTTTTTTTTTTTGTCTTTTACTTTTGACCATTTAATCTTTTGAGTTAATATTTGCCTTTTCTTAATCATGCATTGAGTTGTGGCATTTCCAGCCTCTTCCTTTGGTCCTGGATGAATTGGATCTACTCTATGAGCAATTATTGACAGACCCCAGGTTCACAATATTGAAAAGAATCTTATTATTGTACAGGTTTTGAAACTGCTTACTTCCATTTTCACAAAGCAAATGCCACAGCTTCAGTGTTGGATTTATATTTTCTAAAACATAATATATAACAATAAATAAATAAATAAAACAATATAATAACAGATCAAGTTTATTTCAGGTGAGGAAATAAAAGTAAATAATTTTAATATAAGAGCTAGAATTCTTATTTAATTCTTGAAGAGTAAGGCATCAGCACAGAATCTAAGAGAACATTGTGGTCCATTGCTTTTTGGGGCGCACCTAGATCATTAAGAAGCACATGCCTCGGGGCGCCTGGGTGGCGCAGTCGGTTAAGCGTCCGACTTCAGCCAGGTCACGATCTCGCGGTCCGTGAGTTCGAGCCCCGCGTCAGGCTCTGGGCTGATGGCTCGGAGCCTGGAGCCTGTTTCCGATTCTGTGTCTCCCTCTCTCTCTGCCCCTCCCCCGTTCATGCTCTGTCTCTCTCTGTCCCAAAAATAAATAAACGTTGAAAAAAAAAAAAAAAGAAGCACATGCCTCAACGTGGCAATCATCTTATTATGATAAACATTGTGTATTATATACATATATCAAATCATAACATTGTACACCTTAGACCTACACAACGTTATATATGTTAGTTGTATCTCAATAAAGCTGGAAAAATAAAAAGAAATATTAACAATAAAAAAGCACATACCTCACCTACTTGTGGGAGGATGAGGACAAATGTGCTTAATTTTTTTGCCACTGTAGTTAAGGTTCATACTTAAGTGGACCTGCCCAGTAGTTTTTCCAATTCATTTTTTTTTCAACCAAAGCTGAGCTACATGAACAAAGGACAAAAATTAAAAGGGGGTGGGGTGGGTGGGGAAGAGATGGGAGAATTACTGGGTATAGTAATATACAATGGAAATTATAGTCAAATATACAAAGCAGGACTTATGGTCCTGTAAAAAAATTTTTTCCTTTCTGTTTGCTTCGTAGTGGGATATTACAGAAAAAGGGAGCATTTGTTTGAGCCTTTTAAATTTTATTTAATTTTATTCTTATTGGTCTTAGTCATTTGTAAAACACTACTGTTTAATATTGACAACTTTGAAAGTCACTGAAAAAAATTAAATGGCAATTTAATGTTAACAGCTGCTTATGGTTATCAAATCCATCAAAGCCCTTCATGAATATATTAGGCACAAACCCACTGAATTACTGTTGCTAAAGACAGCTTGGTATTTTAAAATTGCCTAGTGAGAATAGATGTACTATAATAAGAGGAAGGACTCTGATCACAATTTACTGTGTTGTCTTTGCATATAGAAAGAAACCTAGGTCCGTTTCTAATTATTTAATGTTCTAAAATCTCTGCTAACTTAGCTATAAAATGACTCTAGAAGTGAATTAGAAAATTAGGTTTCATCTAAATTTGTGTTTTTAAAAAACAGAGCTACAATAACAAAACAAAAATAAAATTCCTGTAACAAAAATAATTAAAATTTAATAAATAGTTCATATTGAGCCAATTAAGACTCAGAGCCCAGGGATGCCTGGTGGCTCAGTCATTAAACCTACAACTTTTGCTCAGGTGATGATCTCACGGTTCGTGAGTTCAAGTCCTGCACCGGGCTCTGTGCTACAGCTCGGAGCCTGGAGCCTGCTTCGGATTCTGCATCTCCCTCTCTCTCTGCCCCTCTCCCACTCACTCTCTGTCTCTTTCAAAAATAAACATTAAAAAAAAAAAAAAAGACTCAGAGCCCAAATGTGAGTCTTCCAAAGTTTAATTAATAAAGCAGTCATGCTCTTCAGTTCCTTTCTTCTAGAAGACTGTCTTCTCATCAAATGTCGTTAAGGATGTTGTGGGGACCAGAGCTATCCTAAAGAAAGAGCAGGGCACACAGCATAAAATATACCCATGAACGCCTTGCTTGGTTTACACAGCTAGTCTTGAAACCATTCCTTGGAAGGTCTATGCAGCCTGCCTTCTCTTAGGATTTTTTTTAAAATATGGTTTTTAAAATATATATATAAATGCTTATCTATTTTGAGAGAGAGAGAACGTGTGTGCGCAAGTGGGGGAGGGGCAGAGAGAGGGAGAGAATCCCAAGCAGGCCCTGCACTGTCAGCACAGAACCCAACGTGGGGCTCACAAACCGTGAAATCATGACCTGAGCCAAGGTCAAGAGTTGGATGCTTAATGATTGAGCCACCCTGGTGCCTCTCTCAGGATGTTTGAAATTCCAAAACACTGTTTTCAGTTATCTTTCATCCAAGCCACAGGGTGCTTAATCCAGGTATAAGATGACCTGACTGCTCAAACCAGTCTAGATTGAGGTGTACAGGGAGACACTTACCCATCCACTCTCTTGTCTCTGATTGGTAGAGCTTCAGGGAGTGCAGGTTGGGATCATCCTTGGGAATGGGGTGGACTGGAAAGGCTTAAATTATATTGAATATATTTTTAAGTAATGTGAACACCCGACATGGGGCTCTAACAACCCTGAGGTCAAGAGTCACATGCTTTACCAACTGAGTCAGCCACCCCTGGAAAGGCTTAAACTATACCAGTGTCCTTGCACATTATCTCTTATATTAAGCTCCAGGATAATCTCTGTCTCTTCTGAGCCAAGAATAAAATGGAATCTTCAAGGTCACTCAATTTGGAACTCTAAGGTAGAAAATAAAGATTTTGAAGAAAATAATTACGGGAGAGAATCAAAAGTTCTCGTCTTTTGATGTAGCTATTCACAGTTCAAGGTGACTTCACCAAACCATGGAGGAGTAAAACAGTTTACATGGAAAGGAGGAGGGAGGTCTGCATTCAATTTTATATAATATAAAGAATGAGCATTTTCTTGGCATGTGGTTAGTGCACATACTAACCTAGCCTGATTAGTAAAAGGCAACACAGGGATATGGGTCCATCCCTTCTCTGGAGATCTACCTAGAATCTACCAGATATAAATCAAGACTGTAAGAATAAGACAGCCATAGTCCAAGAAGGCTAAAAGTAATCCAAACAAATATGTCCCTTTTACTGAAGGTAGGCAAGGTAAAAGACTTGGTTTTAGAACCCAGGCTGGAGAAACTTAGTTACTAGAACCAGGATATGAGGTCAGAGCCAGGTTACCATCAGGACTGAACTTACAATGGTGATGTCTCCAAAGCATTGAGAGTCTGGATAGGGGAAATTAACATCAGTTAAAGGGAGAAGAGGGCTGTTACCTGGGGAGAGAGCTGGGTAGCCCCTGACTGACAAGTCTGGAATGGGACGGACATTCTCTCACCTTATTCCTGATTGGTAGAATCCTAAAGGCATATAGCTGCACCTTGTTAAGAGCTCAAATCCGGTCTATATTAAGTTGCTTATTATTCTTTTAACATAATTGGCTAGGGCAGCAAAGTGCCTAAGCACACGTTTGTGTATATGCAAATGAGATGGAGAGCAAAAGAGAATGAATGTGTTTCCTTATCTTGTCAATAAATTACATTAATAGGATTAACAATAATCACGACCTAAAAACTGAAAAGGCAAGTTAGTGAGCTGCATCTGTCAGAACCTGTTGGCTCTGGTGGGTTCTGTGTCATACCTTTTAAGGGTAAATGACCTCATATGAATTCCAGTGAGAAAATAGTGTTTTTCTGGCTGGCACCACACAACGATAAACTCATCCCCAGCAGCCTTAGATGATTCAAATGAAGAGAGGGATAAGAATTTAGAAAATGACAACAAACCTTCACTTCTGAAAATTCTCTTATTTTTGATTTGAGAGAGAGAGAGAGTGAGCAAGGGAGAGGGGCAGAGGGGGAGAGAGAGAGAGAGAGAGAGAGAGAGAGAGAGAGAGAGAGAGAGAATCCTAAGCAGGCTCCGTGCTCAGTGTGGATCGCAATGCAGGACTCCATCCCACAACCCTGAGATCATGACCTGAGCCGAAATCAGGAGTTGGACACCCAACTGACTGAGCCACCCAGGTTCCCTGTCCCCACTTCTGAAAATTCTTTAAAAAGCCCATACTAGGTGACTTGAAAGACACAGGTTTAAAAAGTTTTATTTATTTATTTATTTATTTATTTATTTATTTATTTAATTTTTTTTTCCAACGTTTATTTATTTTTGGGACAGAGAGAGACAGAGCATGAACGGGGGAGGGGCAGAGAGAGAGGGAGACACAGAATCGGAAACAGGCTCCAGGCTCTGAGCCGTCAGCCCAGAGCCCGACGCGGGGCTCGAACTCACGGACCGCGAGATCGTGACCTGGCTGAAGTCGGACGCCTAACCGACTGCGCCACCCAGGCGCCCCTAAAAAGTTTTAAATAGGTATTAGGCCACAAACTAAATTCAAATTTCGGGGAGCCTGGGTGGCTCAGTCAGTTAAGCGTCTGACTCTTCATTTTCACACTGACAGCACGGAGCCTGCTTGAGATTCTCTCTCTCCCCCTTTGCCTCTCCCTCTTCTCTGCTCTCTCTCTATCTCTCTCAAAGTAAATGAACTTAAAAAAAATCAAGATTTCAATTGCTTCTTTTGTCTAGTCCACCATATATATATATATATATATATATATATATATATATATATATATTTAGGTAATCTCTACACCCTGTGTGGGGCTCGAACTCATGACCCTGGGATCAAGAGTTGCACGCTCCGCTGACTGAGCCAGCCAGGCACCTTTCCATTCTTGTAATAGTACAAGTGTGTGCTTGGTGGCTTTGCAATCTGTCAACCTACTTTTCCTGGAATTCCCTTTTATGTGTTTCTGGCTGGGGTGGGTCACAAAAGAGATTCTTGTGTGAGATTTACAGGAGTGATACAGTAGTCACTTTGTAGCTCACATATATTGTTGCTTATCTTCTGGTTCACCTCCGTGGCATGTGGCAGCAGCCAGGCCAGAAAGCCAGAGAGGGCAAGTTGCTTGGTCTTCTGCCGGATCCTCCTTTCAGTTTTGACTCTTGAGTCAAATGTGTTTTTAATTCTGGAACAAAGGACTCCGGCTTCTGCAGGATGTCAGGGTCAGGGGCAGCAGAAGGTAGCTTTTGTTTCAGGCGGTCCCCGTGACCATGGCTTGTGCTTCTGCATTCCAGCTTGTCGTGAGTCTCCTCTATCTTCCCTTCGTGACTCCCTGCCTTGTGGACTTCAAGCTCCAGCCACGGATCCAAAAGTAACAGCCTTACAGAGACAGTTTAACCACATTCCCAAATTTTGTAGGGTCAAACCTCTGTGACAGATTTCTTCATATATCTCTTCTTATATCTTCATATACCTTCGTATATCTTTTCATATATCTCTATCTCCATTCTGGTAGTTTCAGTTCTCTGCTTGAACCCTGACAGAGATGGAGACAGTGAGAGTACAAAATGAAAAGGGGTCTTTTGACTTCCCAAAGACCATTGACAGAAAGCTGGTTGAGCAAACTATGCAACTGAAAACATGGGTTACCTTTCATGGGCAAAGAAGGATGACTCAGAAGATAGAACCAAGACCCATAGAGATGTTATCCCAGGTGGGAATAGAATTGCTTTCAATCAAAGAACATTCGTTGGATTTTAGAATTGCTACGAACCAGTAATCACTGTATACTTCTTATTGTCCCTACCCCTTCTGAATAGGAACGTCTACAATGGTTATCTCTCTGTAGATAACCATCTCATTGTCTGTCTCACCATTGCGTGTTATATGGAGAGCAGGTAACTTGTCTTTTTACTTCATAGGTCTTTAAATTGAGAAAACTGTACTCGAGGAGCTGTGTTTAAGCAGCAGCATCCATACCCTGACTTGATTTAGATAATGAGATGCTGGATTTTGAGCTGCTGTTGTAATAGGATGAGACTTTATAGGTGGCTTTGGGAGGGAATGGGTATATTTCGCATGGGAGAGAAATGTGAATGACTGGGGGGGGGGGGGGGGAAGAGGGCTGACTGTGGTAGCTAGCTCTCAATACAGGCCCAGTGATTCTCCCCTCCTGGTATTCATTCACAGCCTCGTATAGTCCCTTCCCTCTCTATAGCAGGTTTGGTCTGTGTCACCCAGACGATATAGCAGCAGCAAAGTGATGCCACTTCTGAGATTAAGTGATAAAGACACGGCGGCCTCTGTCTTAGCTGTGCTATCTCTTGGATCACTTGCTCTGGGGGAAGCCAGTTGCCATGTCAAGAGGACATGTAAGCAGCCCGGGGAGAAGTCTATGGAGTGAGGAACTAAGGCCTCTTGCCAACAGCCAGAGAGGAATTGGAGGACTCCAGCCAACAGTCTCGTGGGTGAACTTCCTTGAAAGCTGATCCTCTAGCTATGGTCGAATCTTCAGATGACAGCAACCAGGGCCACCCAGCTAAAATGTTCATGGATTCCTGACCGTCAGACACTACGCGAGATACTAAGTGTTTAAAGACAAGTTTTGTTATGCAGCAACAAGGAACTATAGAATGCCTAAGTATAAAATATAATTTTTTTCCCCACATGCCTTATGAATGCCAAACTAAACAAAGAGGAGAGGGGTAGAGAAAAAAAGGTAAATTGTGTGTTAGCTCATTGTTTTTCTTCAGGTCTCCTTTAGATTCTTTTAATCCTAGGCCTATTAGCAAATATTTATTCAGCTAAATTTGAAAAGCATCAGGAAGGGGGTTAGCTTTAGTTACAGGGATATATATATATATATATAGTTCTCTCTTTACATATCCATATATACATCTTCATTGAACTGGAGGATTCCAGTTTGAGAAGACAAATCATAAGATTTTCTAGTGTCTTCTTTGTGGAATGGTAGGGAAGCTGTTACTGCTCTAACAGGTTGAGATTTTAAATTTCATTTATTACTCTTTTGGTTTTTTTTTTTTACCTAATGGGACTAGTTTAAAGAATGTAAAGTATGATTTGATTTCCTTCCTAGTTTTTGTTAAGGAAACATTTGGAAACAAGAGAAATAATATTTCTTCTGGCCTCTATTTATTTCTCTTCCTGTCTTATAATCAATTTCAGTAAGTTTAACAATAAACAGTAAAAATGATAGAGTATACAAAGCATTGCCCAACTGAATCCATCACAAACCTGCGTCTGAGAATGGTTTCCTAAGTAGGGGAAATGTGTTTCACACAAAAAGTCCATTTTCTGTTATTGCCTTTTTTATTTGGACTACTAGATGCTATATATTTTAAGGCAATCTTAATAGTTTCCTGTCACTAACAAGAATGACTTGTCATAATGAGCAGTGTAGACACTGTCCATTTGATCCACTCCAGAAAACTGTCTATTTGATACAAGAGTAAATCACTTCAATTCCTTTGTGGGATGAGTGGAGTGTAAATAAATAAATGAGACACAAGAATAAAGAAAAAATGTGGTCAGTTCTATCAGAAGGAAACAAAGGATAGGAACATTTGGAGGCCTGGTTTAATAAAAAATGTGACAAGGCAAAGAATTATATGTGATAACTGTAAAGGGAGGAAAGACTCCTCACTAATATAAAATGCCCGAGAAATAGTTTCTTTCTTCTTTAGGAAGGAAGATAATTTTGTAGTTTAAGAGTAATAATTCTCAATTCTTTGAAGCTAGAGGGCCCGTGTTGTAAAAAGACTATTTACTTTTACCTCCACCAAAAAGAATTCTAATTTTCAGTATTCTTTTTTTTTAAAAATAAATTACATTTTATTTATTTATGTTCATTTACTTTGAGAGAGTACAAGTGAGGGAAGGGCAGAGAAAGGGAGAGAGAGAATCCCAAGCAGGTTCCACGGACCTGATGCAGGGTTTGAACCCATGAAACTGTGAGATCATGACCTGAGCCGAAATCAAGAGTTGGATGCTCAACTGACTGAGCCACCCAGGCGCCCCACAGTACTCTTTCTATAATTCATCACATTACTAAATCTGAGTAGGAATTTCAGATTCCATTTTAGGGAGTCGGGTTGTTTTGGGTGTGTTTTATTATTATTATTTGTGTATTTTACTTCCATTATAAAATTTTTGTCCTGTTTTTGTTTTTTAAAGTTTATTTATTTATTTAGATAATCTCCACACCCAACGTGGGGCTTAAACTCATGACCCTGAGATCAAAAGTCACACGCTCTTTTGACTGAGCCAGCCAGGCACCCCTGTTTTTTGCTTTGTTTCGAGAGGACTTCAACATGTTCTAATTTTTCCTTTTCCAATTAGTGTGTGTTGTATCTCTTACAGAATTGTACAAAAATGTCATTGCATTTGACTACTCAATTTTTTGCTATTACTGTCTAGACTTTTTTTGTATGAAATATTAACGGAGCCATTACTCTGTCAGATTTAAGGTTCCAAGTGGGGATGAAAGATATGTTATGACAAATATTGTGCCATCTAGGAGCTGGAAAGTGATAAAGTGATTCTCAACATCAAATCCCAGGATGTCTACAAAGCAGGAAAGAACATACAATTGGAAAAAAAACGAGTCTCCTCAACAAATGATATTGGGAAAACTGGACGGCAAAATGCAGAAGAATGAAACTGGACCATTTTTTAAAAGTTTATTTATTTATTTTGAGAGAGAGAGAAAATTCAAGTTGGGGAGGGGCAGACAGAGAGGGGGAGAGAGAGAATCCCAAGCAGTCTCCACACCGTTAGCACAGAGCCCAATGCGAGTCTCAGACCCACAAACCATGAGATCATGACCTGAACCGAAGTGAGATGCTCAACTGACTGAGCCACCCAGCTACCCGTGGACCACTTTCTTATACCATACACAAAAATAAATTCAAAATGGGTGAAAGATCTAAATGTTGAAAAAGGAAACCATCAAAATACTAGAGAAGAACACAGGCAACAACCTCT